CCCTTATACAACACTGATAGGAATACTGAGATAAAAGACAAAAAATACAACTTCTTTTAAAATGTTTGCTTTATTTACACAACAGGTCATTTCAATTCTCTCATCCTTTTTTTGTACATTCGCTGAAATTCTATGCAATCAACACTTTCAAGCTTCAATAAGTATGGAAAGACATTGTACAGACAGAAGATGGGTAAAATTGGAGACAAACATACAGTATATTAAATAACAATAAGTATTCCTACACCAAAAAGTCAACATTAAGAAACAATATGAATCTCAAATTTAAGGCCTACTTGAAAACATATAGTCAGAAATAGTACATAAAATGACAGAAATGATAACAGACAAATAACTAGTCCATGTGCACATGGTCAATGTTTTGTAATGCATCAGGCTTGAAAACAGCAAGAATCCATGTGCAGTTAGTTATTTTCTATTAGATTATGAATACAAATGAAAACTCTTATTAACAGGCCAAATCTCATGTCAAGTCATTCATGTGGAAATATATGCATTATAAAAATCCTGGAAATACAGCTGACAAAGCAAGACAAAGGAGGAGATAAAATGTCTATTTGTTGTTTATTGTGTGTCACCTCTCTTAATGTTCAACGTCTCATATTCAGAGGGTGGAGAAGAGAGCTGAAGAGACGCGTATGTGCCTGCTGCCTCATTCTGAGCCTGAAAACAGAAACACTCTTCAACACCATCATCATCATCATGCTGCCTTACTATATCTACTATTTACCTAAGGAGACCCACCTTCAGCTTGCTGGACAATCTGGAAAATAGAAAATTAATTACTAAAAGGAGTTCAAGCTCAGCTCATCAGTACATTTATCTCTGGATAGAGAAATGTGTTGTTACTGTTTGAATGACTCACTGTCTAATTTTGTAGAGTGCAAGTCCAACAGTCAGAGCGAAGAGAACCAGAATCAGGGTTAATATGATCAAGAGGGAAACTGTAGCCTGCTGACAATCTAAAAACACACAATATGCACATGAAACAGAAAAATATAGGATACA